AAACAAACAAACAAACAAACAAATAAGTAAAAAAGGAGGGCAGTGATTGATTTTGCAGCCCAGGAGCAGAGGTCCCTGGGACCATCAAGTGAGAAGAGCAGAGAGCAGGAACCTACCCAGAGAGGCAGTAGCGCCAGAAATGGAGGCAGAGACCATGACGTGGAGCGGCTGGGGACACTGGACTCAGGGAGGGAAAGGAGCTGTGTGCTGACAGCCAGGGTGCAGGCCTGTTGGGTATACCCTTTGGTTATTTGATGATGCAAAGAGGGGATTGTAATCATTGCAATGAAACGAAATATAATAGGATGAATTTTAAACTGATGTTCTCCCATGTAAACCCACATAGTTCATAATAAAAAATTAAAAATTCAGTAACAAACTCAAAGCAAGTTAATGAGTACACCAAAGCAATTCAATAGGATAAAGGAAGTTTGTTCAACAAAGGTTCTGGAACATTTTATAAATGTATGGTAGAAAATGAACCTCACCTCAACCTCACATCATATACAAAAACAAGACTTAATTTTAAAAGCTGAAGCAATAAAGCTTCTAAAATAAAGCACAGGAGAATATCTTTGAGTTCTTGGTGAGTTTTTTTGGTGGGTAAATACATCAAGAATGTAGCCAAGCAGGTATTAAAATGAATCAGCTGTACCTTTCATATAAAAATGAGAATGTTGACTTTATTGTCTTAATCTATGTGTTTTTCAATCACTTGAAAAGCTAAATTATTTTTGGGAACATTTTTTGTGAATTGAGTGAAGGTTTAAAGAGCAGATAATCAGATTTATAACCAACAAATAATACACTTTGTTTCATCTAAAAAATTTCATCTCCTTCATGTAACAACAATTACCCCACTTCTCTCTGTAATTCTTGTTTCCATTCCACTCTTCTTTACAACCCTTTTGAACCTTGTCCTTAGGTAAATGTTGCCCTTTTGATCTTGAATGATTGACTACTCCATGGTGAGCATATATTTCTAGAATTTTTGTCCCCATATATACCTATCTTTTGCTTGGTTCAAAATTGGGCCCCAAGTGTGAGTTCTGTTTCAGACCTGAAGGGTGACCGAGGGCCATAGTCTCCGGTCAGTCTAGTCTCTTTCTGACCTGTACGCTGGTCTTCTTATAATTTTGAGTTTTGTTCCATATTGTGTCCCACTTTATCTATGACCTTTTAATGTCATCTGTTTCAGAGCAGTTGGCAGTGGTAGTTGGACACCATCTAATTCTTCTAGTCTCAGAGTCATGGAGACTGATATTCACATGTTATATTGGACAAATTGATTCCGAACGTATTCAATTTTAATGACTTATTTCTTCCACACATGGAGAGACCATCTAGTTGTAACTTAGATGTTCTGCCCATGAGTGAAAAGCTACATGTTTTTAACAATTAAATATTTCATTGAATTTAAGAGTAACAGTTCACCACCAGACTCAAGCCAATTTTTAAATTCAGAATGTAATTGTGACTTTTGGGGTATAAGTTAAAATTTCTCACAATTGTTTATATTTTTAAGGGTATTCACTCTAAATAAACTGTATTTTTCATTTAGGTATTCACTGGGATCTTCACAGCAGAAATGTTTCTCAAGATAATTGCTATGGACCCGTATTATTACTTCCAAGAAGGCTGGAATATATTTGATGGTTTTATTGTGAGCCTTAGTTTGATGGAACTTGGCTTGGCAAATGTGGAAGGATTATCCGTTCTCCGATCATTCCGGCTGGTAAATTAACTGGGAGTATCCATAATATTTCCTTTTTGAGAATTAATTAAATTATTATTTATTTTTATGTAATAATAATTGTAAGTTTTCCAGTCATCGTATCATTTGGATACATTTATAAAACAAACCAAATTGCCTCACATACACAAATGGTCATTTCTCCTTTTTTCCTAGCTATAATGGACAGAGTAAATATATTCAAATAAATAACAAAATGTTCTCTCCTTAGTAATTGAAGTGATGTGAGCTAAACAGAGGGAGAAAAATGAAGTCACAGATCAACCCAAATTGCCCTCGAATTATTGTTAAATGCTGTCGAGTTGGTTCTGACTCACAGTGACAATGTCTAGTGTTTCCAAGGAATCAGTGGTTGGTTTGAAGTGCTGACCTTGCGGTTCAAACTGACCTTACTGTCCAGTGAACTATGTCACACCAGAACGTCACATAAATCCATGTGGTGGTTATGTGCCAGTTGGGTCAGCTCAGACTCACAACGACTCTGTATAGAAAACAGAAAACCTCATCTTTCTCTTGAAGAAGAGCTGGTAGTTTTGAACTGCTGACCTTGAGGTTAGCAGCCATTTCCTAACCACTGTGCAACCAGAGCTCCTTAAATAATCCCGTTGTTAACCCTTATTTAGCAGAGGTTTACTTAACCAGGCATAAGGTTTGGTTGGGATTTAGGATGGATTCACATTTTTGACAGGAACTCAGAAATTAGACTTGCTCATGGCTCACCTTGCTTCCAGAGAAGTCAGGATTTAGAACTAGAGATATTACACAAAGAATAGAAGAATTAAGCAGATACATGTGTTCCTTCAACCAGATCAGCAAGTCACAAAATTCACTGAGAAAAGTTGCCTATAATACATTTTGTTCATTTTAAAGAAAGTGTCTTTCATTTGCTCTTTATATTTCATAAATGTATCTATCTTTTAAAATTAAAAGACAAAGTATCACACATTTTATTTAAATTTGTGATATATTTTTGGTTCTGCTACTTGAGGCTCTAAATATTTATGACTAACTAGCAAATAACAAGGTTGCAATTAGTTACCAAAACTAAGTTCCTATGGATGGCTTATATTAATGACGATTAATCTCAAGACTTTTGTTGCAAATTTTTTTTAGAATTTCTCTTATCACTTTCAAAGTTGAAAATTGTGTTGACACATTTATTGCTTTGATTTCCATTCCTTACTTTCAAGGATAGGTATGGGTTTCATTTGAACTCTGAAGAATGTGAAAAATAAAGCGAGAAGTAAAGAAGATTGTATAGCAAGTAGTATTAACAACTTTTAAAAACTAGTGAACTTTCATGATAATGCGATATAATTTGAGAAAATAGGAAGCATAATATTGTTGGTCACAATGCTTGTGTGCCATGGAGTTGGTTCCAACCCTGTATTGGGTTTCTGAAGCTGTATATCTTTACCTAAGGAGCTCTGGTAGCGTAGTGGTTACGAATTGGGCTGCGAACCTTAAGGCCAGCAGTTCGAAACTACCAGCCTCTCTGCGGGAGAAAGATGAGGCGTTCTGCTCCCGTAAGGATTTACAGCCTCAGAAACCCTGTACAGGGTCGCTATGGGTCAGAACCGACTCGCCGGCACTTAACAACAACAACAACATATCTTTACATGAGCAGAAAGTCTTATCTTTCTCCCACAGCATGGCTGACAAATTCAAACTGCTGGCCTTTGAGTTAGCAGCCCAACTCGCTACTCACGCTCCTATAATATTGTTAGTGTTTTACTAATGTATCAAGTTCTGCACAAATAATTCTCTGGGAATTCATTCAACACTTAGGTGTCTATAGTGTTGGGTCACTTGTAGCAGCAACATTAAATGCCCTGCTCTCAGCCTGACATTACTCAAGTATCTGAAATAAAATGCTACTACTGTTTCGCCATAGCTGACACTTCAGAGTCCTCTAAGGAGCTCTGGTGTACTGCTGTAGGATAAGCACTGGACTGCTAAATGCAGGGTCCATGATTCAAACCTACCAGCTGCTCCTTGGAAACCCTATACAGCGTCGCTATGAATCAGAACTGACTTGATAGCACTTAACAGCAACAAATGAGTTAAAACAACCAACATATCAAACAACCCAGCAAAGAGCCATTTACACTTTCTCAAACAAGTCAATTGAATCAACAAATACATAAAGTTTGACAAAATGCAGCTTATTACTTAAGACCAAGTATTTCTGCTTTAAATATTATAAATCTGCTTTAAAATATAGCCTAAGAAACAAGGAAAAGATAGAATGAAATTAAAACAAGCTAAAGATATGAAGAAATTAGTTGGTTTAAGTCTTGTAATTTATATAACCTAATGTGTGGCATTGTGGGTTAATGCGCTAGACTGTAAAGTCATTTGAACTGCAAGGTCGGCGGTTCAAGCTCACCAGCTGCTCCTCGGAAACCCTATACAGGGTTGCTATGGCTTGGAACCAACTCGATGGCACTTCACAACAACAACAATTGATAATATGTAACTCAATAGTTTCTATATATCTATTGTTGTTGTTAAGTGCTGTCAAGTAGATTCCGACCCATAGTGACCTTGTATAGAATTTTCAAGGAGCAGCTGGTGAGCTTGAACCGCCGACCTTGCAATTCAAACGACTTTGCAGTCTGACGCATTAGCCCACAGCGTCACACCAGGAGATGGCAAAACTTCCTGTCTCATACTTTGGACATATTGTCAGGAGGGATCAGTCGCTGGAGAAGGATATAATGTTGGTAAGGTGGAGGGTCATAGAAAAAGAGGAAGACCTCCAACAAGATGGATTGGCCAAGTGGCAGCATCGATGGACTCAAGTATGGCAACAGTAGTGAGGTTGGCCCAGGATTGGGCAGTGTTTGGTTCTGCTGTGCATAAGGTCACTATGAGTAGGTACTGACTCGATGGCACCTAACAACAACAACAATTGATAATATATGGAGTCCTGGTGTGGCGCTGCTGGTTATTATGCTGGACTGCAAAGTCGGTTTGAACCACAACATCTATGGTTCAAGCTCACCAGCCGCTCATTGGAAACCCTATACAGGGTGTTATGGGCTGAAACCTATTCAATGGCACTTAGCAACAACAACAACAATTGTTAATATTGGAGTCCTGTTGTGGTGCTGTGGGATAGAGCACTGAACCACAAGGTCAGAAGTTCAAACTCACAAACCACTCCTTGGAAAACCGACTTGATGGCACTTAACCACAGCAAACAGCAATTGTTAATATTATTTACATTTTTTGGATTTCAGTAAGATATGTTCTGTGAAAAATACATACACTTTGTCATTTTAAAAAATGACAGTCTCAGCTAACTAATTACTATTTAATCTAAGACATTGTATTTCCTTACCAAAAAAAGTGTATTATATAAGCATATTGTAGAAGTCTTCACAATTTGGCTGTTTAACCATAACTGGCACTTTAGATGCCTCTATGAAGTTCTGGTTTAGTGTTATAGGATAAACACTAAACTACTAACCACAAGGTGAGTAGTTCAAATCCATCGGCTGCTCATTGAAAATCCTGAACAGAATTGCTATGAGTCGGAATTGATTCAACAGCACTTAACAACAACAATTATTAAGAAGCCAATATAAGACTATATCATGCAATTATTTTATACAATTTGAATGATTTCCTGGTGAAAAAGAAATATCCGAAGGTACTGAATGATTATTGTATAGCTAAGTGATCGTTTGACACCCAGGTAATTTATCACTCTGTAATTGAGACAATTATTCTGTAGTATCCCTGTAGATTAAAAAAAAAAAAAAAAAAGCA